GACTCCCTGTGGTCCCTCACAGACTCCACCTGGTCAGCTTCTCTCCTCAGAGGTTTTGTCTGACTCCTTCAAGCTTCTAGGTTCTGACAACCCAACCTTTTCCCTACACGGCCCCGTCCCCAGAGAGGGAGCTTCTTCCTGACATGACATACTGCAGTAATATTTCAGTTCAGCGCTAATCAAAGTGTCACGTACACACAGTGCTAGTCCTTGAAATGTTAGCTACTGCTTCACCAGAATGTGAATTAACCTCCACTAAGCACACTGTGTCGTTCAGCTGACTTTTCTTCACAGGTAGACTTTCTCAAAAAAAGAAGCAGTAAGCTGATTTACATTCAGGTCAAGCTCCTTATCACAGGCTGCTAGCGAACTGTCAGCAGATCAATTACTTAGACTGACACAGTCATGGTGGTTTTCCTATGGTTAATAATTCTGCATATTATAGTCACTCCTAAAAGAACTCCTGTGGTTTCTGTCTCCTGATGGAACACTGACTAATACAGAGGTTAGGTACATTTTGAGTAAATGCTATATTTTAATTGCATACATGCATGTGCACAAAATGGATTGTGATATAAAATGCACCATGTAGTCAAAAAAGTTGGAAATACATTAGCCTAACCTGTAGATTATAAGAAAAAAATATTTACCTAAATCCCAGTTGCACATATATTTGCACTGCATTCCTGTGACACAATATTTAAGAATATATATATATATATATATATATATATATATATATATATGTAAAGGAACTCAAAGAAAACTAAAGTACTCCACCCAACACAAACTTTAATTTACCAATGAGAAGGAAGGTAATAGTAAATGAGAGGTGGCTTTCTCTATTTTTAAAAAACTTGATCTGTGGTTTCTTTTAGGACCTAGAAAAATGTGTTAATACACATTTGTATGAACACACTGTGTGGTAGGTTTTCAGACCACTTGAAGTAATCCTGGGTCTTCTTTTATAAAAGTACTTGTCTCTACCAATTATATCAATAGGCAAATATTACTTGTGTCCAGCAATTATGGGAACAGACTATTGAGCAAGGCTTATCTTCAATTATTTAAATATTTCCTACTAATGTTGCAATAATATTACTTAACAGTTCACTAACATGTCTGTAAGATCAATGCTTTCTAGAGTCTACTTCCATGACCAAAGTTAGCGCTATCAATACAGGAAGCTCTAAGCTAAGAAACTAAAGCAAAGGCAACATATAACATATGCACACCTGAGCAATATCACATCACTATAAATGAGGCTCATTCCTTTGTATGTCAGCATGAAACTACAAAAACATTTTGCTGATTTCATATAAATAAACATACTACATACTCTAGAAGGTATCTGAAAATGTGGGGGAATTAACCCTAAGACGGCTTGTATGGTTACCCAACTCATGCGGGAAGTCAGCCTGTATTACTCCAAAGACACATTTACACGTCAACTAGAAGAACTATGACATAATGAAGATTAAGGCCACCCATAAGTCAAATGCAACAAAAAAAAGTACGATAGATGAATAGTTCTCTGCTTCTAGGCATCCTATATATGAAAACAGAATTTCTAATATATAGGGTCTTATTTCATGGCATATACTTTGACTATGCTTGGAATAGCTGGATTTTTTTTTTTTAAAGCATACATTGCAATCATGGATGTGCTCTTGGATCTTGGACGGTTGGGGTTATAATTAACCCAGGTCCCAGCTGCTATGCTATAAAATCCATAGCTACATTTGCATGAAGACCAGGCTGGACAGGAATTCTAAAGGCAAGCCCATTTCTGGAAGGCACAAGTCCCTTTTGGTAGTCAACTGTGGCTCCAGGGATTCCCAATGGCTTTACTCAGAAAGGCATAACAGACCTAGAGATTTATCCAACCTTCTTCCCTTCCTTCCCTGTCTTCTGCACTCAGGGTCAGTCTCGTATTGTAGTCAAAAAGCTCTTCTAGTTAACCTCTCTCCTCCATATTTTTCTCTCATGACATTCCCCCTAATCAAATTCTTCCACATTTAATCTCTTCTTTATGTCTCCTTCTCAGAGGCCCAAGACTAAGTACAAATGTTTACTTATACATAACCTACTTTATATGTATTAAAAAATTCTTAACTGCCTTATTTCTAAATACAAAAAAAATATTTTAAATGAAGGGCACTTAAGTCAGTTATATTTACATGTTGAAATTCTACTAAAATCTCAGAGAAATATGTATACTAGTATTCTTCCTATAGGATTAAGCCAATTCAAATTGGAAAAGTTAACAGCATTTGATAAAACTTTAGTATTTATCTTGACTATATTTCAGCATGGAAGAGAAAAATTGAAGCTATTCTTACACTAGAGATACCTCATGCCTCATCTATAAAATAAGGTATTTAGATCAGATGTACCACTTTTATATCTACAGTTCTATGGTTTTCCAATTTTTATTAATTTTTTGTTTGCTTTTATTTTTTAGGATTCTCTGTCCATTACTGTGGGATCATGGTATCTTGTGTTTGAGAAATATCTTTTTAACTGAATTATAGAATTTCAGGATAAAAAGCTTTCTTAAAGTTATTTAATCCACTCTAGAAAATGGTATGTATCAGGCTCATTTGACCTAAAGGCAGAAGAAAATTGCCTAAAGGCTGTGTAAGCTGCCCAGTCAGGTTTCTGACAGCCCATGTAATAATCCATACTTTGATGCCAGAAGTAAGAAGCAACTGTGGGCTCCCACCTCTTAATATTGGTTCACTACTATGGTATTTTTTTTTTTTTAAACATTTAGGGTATTGTGAAAATTTTCATTACTTTCTTTAGATTTTTTTTCTGCTGCTGCCTGCATGGTAATTTTCTCCCTCAGGATAGATGGACAAATATATTGTCCACTCCAAGAAAGTGAATAGAAATATATTTTCAATATCCATTAAAGTATTTAAAGTTCTATAATAGAAACAACGGGCTACATTAGGTCAATTTTGCTAACTTAACCAAAGAAGAAAATCACTTGAAATCATGCCGAGGTTAGGGCAGACTGGTGAAGGGGAAAAAAAATACTGGAATAAGAGAGAGCAGTGTGTTTCATTTCAGTTTCATTTTAATAAGTGAACTGTGTGACCTCGGGAGGCCACCCATCTCTCAGGGCTTCTGCTTCCTCTGCTGTGAAGTAAGAGGGTTGGACAAGATGACTTATGAAGTCCTCAACCGCGAGTTCAGTCACGTGGATTCTATGTGCACTTTTCTATAAACAATACAGTTCACCCACACCTGACAGCATCTTAAAGAGTATTAAAATACAAGTCATTCAACACAAAGAAGAACATCTAGTTCTTTTTCTCATTCTTAAGCATTTTTAGGGACCACTTGAAAGAGAACTGTTTAGTTTAAAGAAAAACCATTTTCAAAACAATGTTCTATTGACAGGGCCTCTTCCAGCCTTCTATGGAACCACTGAGGACTTGGCGATTTAAAGTATTCTTGTCCCATTTAGTTTGTTTAGGAACAGAGTGAAGTGTCAAAGTGTTTGTTGTTCTGATGACAAATGGTAGGCCGGCTGTATGAGGGCTATAATAGACCATGTCCTGCAGATCTGGGGGAAAGGGCAGAAAAAGGGCTCTTGGCTCTCAGAATTTTCTCTTGTTCTTCATCAAAGCCCTTCACCAACAGAACCCAACATGAATTCCAAACCTTGACCTCAGCTAGCAAGGCAGCGTTCTCATGAAGCCCAGCTCTGCCATGTCAGCTAAAATTTCATGCAAAGCTACTTCCTCTCCAAAGGTAATAAACTTGTAAGCATAAAAGCTCTACAGCCATTCTTTCCATTTTTTTTTTCACTAAATAAGTAAGTTTGAAAAACAGAACAGTAGGGTTCCAAAATAAGCAGTTTCCACCAAATTTATTTATCTAAGTTGAGAATTTCTTCATGCTCAGACAGCCTGCAGAATGAAGCTCATCCTTTTAAATCTATTCAAATGGCCTCTGAGGCATGTGATCTTAGTAAGTGAAAAATAAGTGTAGTTGCTAAAGGAGAATACAGCAAGTAAAAAGAATATTTCCTTTAGGAAAACATGATATTGAAAAACAGCCACTCTTTAGAATAGAATTTGCCACAGACAGACAATATCTTATAACTTAGATGTTTAAAATAAAAATGTATTTGCAATTTCCACATCAATATTTACATGAAAATTTACTAATAAGGCATACTACTTGGCACAATGCCCTATTTTGGAACATTTTTTTAATTAAATAAAGATAAGTTTGATATAACTATAAAGGTTAATAATATAAAATATTTAAAAATAATTCCCCATCTTTTGCAAAAAAAAATATCACTACTGTTTATATATGCATGACTATAAGAAGATGAATCTTCATGAGTTTTGAGTTTAATAAGCAGCCTAAGTGTTCATAGTGACATTAAGCATCGAAATAACCAAGAAGACTATGGCAGCCTCAGGAAATTGCTTTCAAAGATGCAGGAATTGCAAAGCTGCAGGGGAAACACAATCTATGAAAGGAACTGAATTTCCCACCAGCAGTTGATGTTATACTGTTAATAACCATAAAGACATTAAAAAATAATTTCTTTTGGTGAGGACTACAATGATAATGCACATTACAATTGATTTTTTTTTTTTCAAGTTGAGTGATGATGTGTAAACTAACTTCTTTCAAGCCTCAGATGGATTTTTATAAGGCTCTTAAGACCACCAGCAATAAATAACCACTAGAGTGGTTACAGGACTTAGCAACATCTTTTCACTGAAAAAACAAATTGTTTACAAAAGTATGTTAGGAATCTGCCTAAAAATTACTTATTATGAATAATAAACTGCAAATATTTTTGTAAGTCAAAGAAAAATGTACAAGCAATTCATAAGGAGCCTGTTATGATTGTTTAAAATATTACAACTGTCATACAGAAAAAAAAAAAAACAAGAAAAAAACAACAACGAGATCTAGGCTTACAGTTACATAAGAATTATGTAAAGTAACTTGGCAGATCATACCTTTTTCAGGAACCGGACTCCATAGGTAAATACGTAAAGGTAAAATGAAAATCTCCACCTGTAGAAGGTTAAAAAAATTCTATGACATTCAGTTTTTATATTTCACAGCATATACTGATATTCATGAGTGAAAAAATCCATGAAATTTGCTACCTCCACCTCCACCCCTGCCCCAAACCAAGATTAAACTTAATGAGCAATTTCAATGCTAGTTGAACATATACACTCATGTGCATAGCTTACCGCAAATGTTTTAAATATTAGTAATTATATTCACAACTTAAATTTCCTTTCACTTAGTTAATGTATTTGCCCATTTGCTCATCATCTTTTTCCTCCATGTGAATGACCTCTTGTTAATCGTCCATGAAGGGATATATTTCAACAATATGAAGCTACATAAGATATTTTTGAATTCTGATTCAGATATTAACTTGCCTTAACTGAAGCTCAGATGAGACAAAACTCTTACGCTAGTACTCAATTCCCAAAATTTTATTTTGTATGTTTTCTGGGTATGAATAGCTTATCCTTAAAAGCTAGCTAGATTTCATTAAATAGCATTCCTTAGGTTATGTTATTAATGGTGTTAAAGGCACTTCAAGTTATAACTAGTAAATTAACTCAAAGGAGAAAGTTACTAGTCAACTTGAATTTGTCAGGAGGCAAATTGCTTTTTGTGTTTGCAAGCTGTATAAAGATTTCAAATAAGGTGAAAAGGAAAAGGTTATTTTAGAAGGTGATTCAAGTTATAGACAATAAAGACACTGGTGTCCCCAGAGTTTTATAAAAAATGTATCAGAGTCTCTAAGCATTCTGAAATTAAGGTCAGAATTTACACTTAGAGAAGAGCTTAGAACTTCAGGGATGGCTTCAAGGGCATGTAATTGTACAAGTCACATAGGGTCCCAGGCTTGATTTAATGCTTTGTTGTCACTATCTTGAAATTCTTAATCACCATTGAAATTCTTAATCCCATTTTATTTTGCATGGGGCCCTGCAAATTATGTAGCTGGTTCTAGTTAAGACACATAGTCTCCAAATTTTGGACAGATCTATTAATATCCTTTGACTTCAGTTCTATCTCTATAATGGGAGAGTAGGTTTATATTCTACTGCTTTTCATGTTATACTGGTGGCCGAAGGACTTGATAGCAGAAGTAATCCCCCACTTCTCTCTAGACACTCTCAATCCCCTTTATATTAATCCAACCTATTTCATGAATCTGCAGGTCACTTTTCTGGCCCCTGAAGGCAACTGAATTTGCAACTCCTTGATAAAATAATTTATAACAGCTGCTTCAGCTCTAAGACTTATTAATAGGCAGTGACAAGGCAGTTTTTATGTAAAATTAAAATTTATGGAAATCATTAGAATTCCTACAATAACATATGTATCTACATTTTTTTCATTGCAAAAAATGACCTATTTTTCATAAGACATAGTTTCTATTACAGAAACACAGATGCCTTCATCATCTGAATAACAACTTGTGATGAATATTTACAAGGAAAAGTTTATTTGCATAAAATGTCTGCAGAAAGCAAATTTTTCAAGCATTTTGCCACATACAGAAAGTACTTTTTAAAAATTGTGTCATTTCATACAAGTTAAAGTTTTAAAAGGTGTCTAGCTACCCAGCTCCCGAAAGCCTCTCCCAACCTCCCACAAAAGTATCTAACCACAAAAAGGAGGGAGTAACCTTTGACCTAGTCCAAAAATCAGAGAAGAACATTTACAGCAGAAAAAAGAATAAATTAGATTTTTAAAATGTAATAAAAGGAAACAAAAAACAAGCTATGAAACTTGAAGGGGGGAAGAAAATCTTCCTTTCTCCACTTTCTGCCATCTCATACAGAAATACAAAAATATGTATCATTCAGAAACCTAGTCAGCTCTCTGTCCTGCATGATGCTTTGTGAGGAAGCAGGAGACTCCCACCATCCCATCAAATTGCTACTTTCACACAATGAGTGTGAAGAAAGTGAAGTACTTTAATATCCTGCAGAAAAACAGATTTATGGACAAGATGATATGGTGGCATTGCATTCTGGGTATTAGAGTCTTATATAATCCATATACAGGGTAACAGTGAACAAGACATTGGAGATCGTTGCTTTAGATAAAACTCTTCGGATTTATCAAAAATGTAGCAGAATCTATAACCTGCGACAGATTTAAGAAAGGGACTATTACTGGTGAATAGAGGACAGGGAGTGAGGCCAAGAGCAACCCAGGCACCCTTTCTGTGAGCAGGTCTAAGTGGATATTTCCAAATGAAGGAATAATGAAAATAACGTATCAAAATCATCATAGGTCTATTAAGAAGTATTGCATAAGTAATTATGGAAAGAAAAGAGCATGCTAAAAATTCAGAGGAAGGACTGTCTCCTAAAAATGACTTCTTAGACGAATCAGATGTAAATTTTTAAAAAGTATTTGGCATTGTTAATATGATACAAGAAGATATGTCCCTGAAAAATGAAAGTGGAAAACTATAAATCAATAAGGACTGATGGGGAAGATAAAAAAGAGATTGCAGGTGAAATAAAGAAACTAAAAATGAAGAGACAGCCGAAGCCGGTTTGGTTCAGTGGTAGAGCGTCGGTCTGTGGACGGAAAAGTCCCAGGTTCGATTCCTGTCAAGGGCATGTACCTTGGTTGTGGGCACATCCTTGGTAGAGGGTGTGCAAGAGGCAGCTGGTCAATGTTTCTCTCTCTCACCGACGTTTCTAGCTCTCTATCTCTCCCCCTTTCTCTCTGTTAAAAATCAATAAAATATATTGTTTTTTAAAAATGAAGAGACAGAATTTTTACCCAATTGGGTGGGGAGAAGTATTATAGATACATGCTATGTAAAATTAAATAACTTACGTAAAAGATTTCTCCACATTAGGCTGGAGAAAAGAACCAATAGTTGAAAGAACACCAATAGATGAAGGATCAGAAAAACCTGTCTAATGACAGTTGTTTCTGAGAAAACACAAGTGAAGACCTGAAATAGAATAATCAGCGACACAATTTTTAAAAACTGAAAAAAGACTAAATTGTATTCCAAACAATATACAATTCAAAGCCACCTTCTGACAAAAATTTTGAGTCCTATAATCAAAATTAATTAAAAGTCCTTTAGTATTCAGGCATGAAAACAAAACAAGTCAACACACAAATCAAATGAAAATGAGTCATCATGAATGGAACAAATGTCCAGTTGCACTTAAAAATCTCCTGTGTATTACTAAGTTACAGAAGAAAGAGAATACTCCGTTAAAGAAAGCTATTGTCAACCAAACTGTCTTTCACTTGTGAAGGAAAATGAAAAATAGTCTTCCATATTTAAAGGCTCTGAAAATTCATTACTCATTAACCTTTCCTTAAAAAACGTAGGCCAATTCCAAGCCACTAGTATACAAATAAAAATTAAGCATTCCAAAAATATAACTTTAGGATTAAAGGACTAGGTACTATTATTAGCAACATAAATAATTGCCCTATATTTCACTGTCAAATTAAATACTATTGTTCTTAAGGAATAATTTAATATAAAATATGTAACAACAACAATGAAAAATAAATCCTCACATAATAAAAACAGGGGTTGAAGAAAGGAACCATTATTATGTTTTTTAGATTTTTTAAATTAAATTATTATCTATGTATATATCTTACCATTGCCCCTCCCCGTCCCATACATACCCTCCCTCCCAAGAGTTTTGTGTCCATTGGGAACCATTAAATTTATTATTTTACAGGGAAAATTTGAAAGACACAGTTGTTATGATAACAAAAAATATAGTTAAAGAATATTCCTTTATCCATGAATTATGCATATACACATACAAATTCTTTTGTTGATCTCTTCCCACCTACCCCCACCTTCCCTCTCAGATTTGACAGTCTGGTCCATGCTTCTATGTCTCTGGATCTATTTTGTTCATCAGTTTATTAGATTCCACACAGGAGTGAGTGAGATCATGTGACACTTGCCTTTCTCTGACTGGCTTATTTTGCTTAGCATAACACTCTCCAGGTCCCTTCATGCTGTCTCAAAGGGTAAGTGATCATAGACCATAGGGTGGTGAAGGCCTGAGGTTGGGGGCCAGGGGCGGGCTAGAAGAAGTCAAAGGGGTAAAAAGGGAGACATATGTAATACTTTCAACAATAAAGCTTTTTTTTAAAAAAAGAATGTTCCTTTAAAAATGTAAAGATGACTCCTGGTTAAAGATGCAAATTTAATGCATGCATTTACCTTTGGGCCCCTATGAATGTAGCACTAAGCAGGCAGAAGAGGGATTTTGTTAAGAAAGCATCCTATATAATAAAAGAGTAATATGCAAATCAACAGAATGGCAGAATGACCAGTCACTATGATGCACACTGACCACCAGGGGGCAGACGCTCAATGCAGGAGCTGCCCCCAGCACTCAATCGCCCCAGGCGGAATGGGGAACTAGAGGATGGGTGGCGGCAGAGATGGGAAAGGGCAGATCAGGGTCCCCACCCTGCCAGTCGCCCCACACACAGAGGACAACCGGTGGCCGGGGATTGGGCCAGCGAGCGGGCGGCAACAACCAACCTTCCAATCCTTCACCCTAGCTGGCAGGCTCCGATGACCCAATGGTGAACGGGGAACTGGGGGTGGGTGGTGGCGGAGGGTGGGGCCGGCTGCCCACAGCTGGGGAAGATGGCCCTGCTCACAGGCCAGGTCTAGGGACCTTACCCATGAATGAATTTGTACATCGGGCCTCTAGTAAACTCATAAGGACGCAGTAAACAGGAATGGGAACAACCACCCATTCTGGAGCCTGAGAAGCAGAAGATCCTTGTCAGTCTGGTTAGCAGAAAGAGCAGCGGGATCCTGAGCCGCTGGTGGAGGTTTATTGGTTTATTTTGTTCTTTCGATCCCACACGAGTGAGAAAGCACCATGCGATCCCAGAAAGACTCCAGACGAGGAACGGACTCTGCAAGGGAGGAACCTCTACTGCAGTGATTTTCAACCTTTTTAATCTCCTGGCACGCATAAACTGATCACTAATTTGTGGCACACCCAAATGTA